GTCCGAAACTACTTTTGAGTATTTGCATTTTGGTTCCAAACTTAGGATTTGCTTCATTTTAGCCATTTTTCGTTCTTTTTTTCAATTCTTCGTAGAAGCATGAATTTTTCTAATAAAAAAGCAATAAATAACAAATTAGGTTAGGATTTCAAATAAGTGTAGAAACTACACTTATCAATGTGTGTCTACCAATGTACAGCTATATGAAAACTCTGCTAGGTGATTTGGTAGATTGGATTGTATATTAACGTGGAAAAAGAAATTAAAATCTTGTCAAAGCTTCCATCTGCATGACGGTTGGCTAGATTTCAGGCTAAGTGAAAGTAGTTGCTTCTATCTACAACATATAAGGAATCAAGGTCCTCATAAAATTGTTTGATCTTCTTATTCCCTTCAGAACGTTTTACGTTACTCTCGCCTTCTTGCATTTTCTCTAGTGTGGCTTGCACATCTTCCACTGCTACATAATTTTGCTTTTTAATCCCATCGGAATGGGTGAAAGGGTAGACCATTTAATTTTTCCTTCACAGTTGCATGAACTTGCTTTCCACCTATAGATAAATAGCAACATGAGTAGAAGATTTTAGAACAAGTACATATTCTGCTGAAGTTGTTCGTTTGCTGGTGCAATACAGCCCATGCCAGCGAAATTTATACCACTCTTGTTATCTGTAACATGTATATAGAAATCCAATTTCCCAAGTCTTTGGATGCCAGTTTGGTTGTTCAGGATAGATTGAAAAAAAGAACAAGGTATTATTATCTTTTCAATCGAACTTTCAACTGCCAAATGGACAGAAACAGACCATTAAAAAGCAAAGGTATTATGTTGTTTGCCAAGTTAAATTAAGATGTTCGCCAGAGCTCTTCCACATAACATCAGCTTGTCAAAGGCTTCCAAAAGCTTAAGGGCATGTTTGACAGCTTTTGGCTTTCTAAGCTACCTTAGGTCAGCTTCCTTCGAAAAGCTCTCCTAGCCAAACAAAACACCATTTGAACATGTTAAAAATCAGCTTATTATTCACTGAAGCAACTTTTGACTTTTCAAAAGTCTTGTCAAAATGAATCCAATAAGTGAGCCAATCACAAAACCATTAACTACTCACTGCCGCTATCGGGCAAACACTCCTTGTAGACGTGTTGAAGATTAATCCTTCAAAGAAGAGTTCATCCACTAGAGATTCTTTGTAGAAAACCTACATAATACTTATTCAATAAATTCTTCACATTAGGGTTAACTTTAAAGATTTCTTTTAATGTTCACTGGGATTTTGATCATCAATTAACACCATTCATCAACATCTCAGACCAAAATGACTCATCCATGTTCAGTCATTGTGCTTATTCATCATTTTGATCGAGAAAATTCACGATAAATTTGTACTAATAAAGCAAAATTAGGCGAGTTAAGAAATTGTCAAGAGATAACAACAATACATAATAAGTAAAACCTATATAACATCTGCTACAATCTTAACTGCTCCTAAAATGGAAAGGAATATTTGTTAAAGTAAAGAATCGTAAATCGAAATATTTCATTAAAATTTTCACGATTTCTCTTCGTACTAATAAGAATTAGTAGTAGTGGAGGACATAATAATCAAATCTATAATTAAAGATGCTAACTTAAAAACAAAATAGAGAATTGTTTCTTGTTGCTTGGATGGCTCTATATTGAACAAAATAAATCTAGCTTAGAAAATAGATTTAGATTCAATAGTGATAAATTGTGTTTTATAAAATTTCGTGGAGCACAACTTCAATAGATATTTGTATTAAATATTTGATTATGTGATATTTTCGGCTTTTTCTACATTTTAACTCATCTTAAAATATATGTCTAAGTCTGTCCCTTTACAATTACACTTTTTCATCGCCGTTAATTCGTTCTCCGATCTCATCTACCAATATTTAAACAACATATATAACTCACACAAGTACAATTCATATGAATGCGAAAATGAGATGAAATAAAGACGTCAATCTTTTTAAAATTAGTTAATGAAGTTATTTCTCATTCTGCGGCCAACTTGGGTTGACTTTTTTAAGATTCATTTGATAGGACTTTTGCTTATTGTAAAAAAATTTCTTGAGAAAGTGATCTTCAGAAGGTTATTACCAAATATTAACCAAACGAAGATCAAAGATTTTTTTAATTTTAGAAATAGCTTTTGACTAGAAATAGAGACAAATGAAGAACAATCGTGCTACACATATAGGGCTTGCTTTATAGGGGTTTTACAGGGTGATATGGCAGTAATTTAAGGAAAAAAAGGAAAAAATAAAAGACAACTCGCCTTAATTCATCAGCTCATTTTCAACATCCCGTTTTCAACATCTCAATTTTTGAGATAATTACATGATGTCAAATGAAATCTAAATATTGTATTCTTAATATTATTTCGAAGTGTTCACGGCCTAATTTTTCACATCACTAACCAAGCCTGGAACTGCCGATTGTAGCAAATATTACGACATGTCAAAATTGATGGTTCAAAACTCGAATTTCAAAAATTTCAAGAACATGCTCACTTTAAAAATTCACCGTCTATCATAAGCTAGTCGAATTCTTAAATTGTCTACGTCATCTCAAAATTGGTTTCGAGAACTATATCATAGACATCGAATTGTTTAAACAAATATCGATTAGCGTATGATCATCAGAGAATTTTTAAAGTTAATATATTATTAAAATTCTCAAAATATTAGTTTAGAACTGCCTACTTTGTCGAACAGAAACATTTATTACGATTGACCGTTTTGCGCGTAGTTGAAGATATAGGAAACAAGGCCGTGAGCACTTTGAAAATCGAATAAAGCTACTTTGCCGAAAGGATTTGACAGAAAATTTTACATAATTGTACGTGGCATTAGATGATTAGATGAAAATGTTGGTTGTATTTTAAAATATTCAATAATAGACTGTCACGTGACATTATATCAAATTTTATGTCGACATTGATGTTAGTGCAGCATAATTGCTTTCAAATAATATTAAAAAGAGAATATTTCGACTTCGATGTTAACATTGCGTGACTATTCCAAAATTGAGATGTTGAAAATAGTTGATGGGCCGGGTCACCAATCTTTATTCTTTTTTTTTAATGATTAAAATGCCCAAACTTTTTTCACACCTTGCTTTTTTCTTTGCCACGTCACAACTTTTCAAAATCCTTTAAAGCCAACCCCTGTACAAGAAGCTTTATTCTTCTTGCTTTGCTTTGCTTTGCTTTGCTTTGCTCTACTTTTCTTTAAAACTCCAATCAGTTTCCTTCACAGACACGCTATCAGAGAGAAATGGGAATCTGGGATTTCATCAAGTCAAGCACAGAAGCAGTGAAGCGAAATGTACTGGATTTTACTCCGGTTCGGGTGAAGAACGCCTTCCGAACGTCTTACAATTACGGATCCGCCGCCTGCACCAAGATCGATAATGTCGTCGTAGGAAACAACCTCCAAAAGCTCAACCAGTGGTGTCTGGACGATGTGGCCAAATCTAAGATCGGTATCTTTGCTACAAGATGTGCTAAAATTTTTGCCCTCAATGCACTCTACGGGAGTTACAGATATTATCCCGGTTTGCTTCCATCTCATGTACCACAGTTTCGTTTTATTTTTTGTTTATACTTTACCGAAAGGGAAAGACTGAGTATTTTATATTTGCATTCTAATTTCATCTTAAAAATGTCAACAATAAGAGTGGTTCATTCATTTATATGTTAGATCTATATTTTGATGATTAATCGAAATAAAATTTATCTTTTAACATGTAAGACTGTGATTCATTTGAGTAGGCTAATTCTTAAATTTATATGCTCAATATTCGAGTCTTTATCAAATCAAGTTATGTGTTTCAACCTAATGGACTTTGGTACCAAGTCGGTCTTAAAATTTCTTATATGTTGGTCTATTTATTAGTTGATGTTCCTTAACATGGCTAACTTAAAGAGTGTTGCTAACTTGATCGGCCTATGGTGGTTGTCGACGATATGTTACATAAAGATTTCAAAATATCTAATGTTTATGGCCTCCGACTTCTCTGTGCAACCCTTCTTCTTCTTCTCTTACTTCATTTCTCTTTGTAATGAAACCCTAAAGTCTATATTGTCATTCCCTTGAACACTCATTTTGTTAAAGTGGGTAATTAAAATTTACAACATTTTTGTTGGGCATGTGGAGAAAAAGAGAGTATTATTAAATTTCAATATTTGGGTTACTTTTTTCTCCATTTTTTTGGAATCATTTCTTTATTTCAATAATGACTTTGAATTCATTTTATCATTGGACTAAAGCTTTGATATGGATTGCTACCCAACTCGATCTTATTACCCTATTAATTGAAGTGAAATGTGTTCTATATGTTGATTTTACAGTGAAATACACATTACAGAATGACTTACATATTGGTTTTTGCAATTTATAAAGACATACATCTCGTTAGTAGTATTGTACGAAATTTGACGAAATTTAAAAATGTTTATGTTGAATTGTAGTTGTGGACGCCATGGAAATGGTATGGATATCAGTTTGCTGTCCAATTAAATATGAGCAGTCAGTTGAAGGTGTATGGAAATGGAAATATACGGAAAATGGCAAAGGAGAAACAACGCCTATTCTTGTTTTGGAAACAATTTCTTATGCGGAATTGTATGATAAAGTCAAAGAGGTGTTGGAAATCGATACAAATCTATACAAAATGGAGATGTCAGCTCTTGTCCCTATAATGCGTGAGGCTCCAGCAGCACCGATCATCATTGATCGTGACAACAATGTGAAGTGGTTTGTATCTGTATGTATGGAAACTTTTCTTTGCGTAACCATTTCAAAAGAAATTGAAAATCATGAAGAATTTGGTGATGATGATGTTTATTGCTAATTGAGGGTGAAAAACAATTTGGACATATGAAAAGTGAGGAGAATATGTTCAAATGGACGACGATGTAACCATGCCAATGTTCATTCCATTTCCACTGGCCAAGCAGCGGTTGTGAAACTTGAGGTTGTAATATTGTTGTGACTTGTAACTTTATTGTTTTTGACTATATAAAACGACCCTATGATTATTGTGTTGCTTTTTCATGATGTTATTGCTTTTGTATTATTGGAACCACGTTAAAGTCATTTTACATAGCCGTGTTGATTTTTTTTACACATTACATTCCAACAACTTTTATGCCCTATTATTTTTCTAGAACGATACAAATGGCATTATATTTGATATTGATGTTGTTCCACTACAAAAATTGTAATGCTTCAATTGAAATTATTCTTGAAACACAACAATATTGATGTCATTCCAGTAAGAAAGTTGTAATTTTTTTCACAAAACAACATTGAAATCATTCCTAAGATAAAAAACAATATGCATGTCATCGATATGAAAACATTACTGATATACTAATTCACATAACGACAATATTGAAGTTGTTATGACAAACATAGCGCATGATGCGGGCGTGTGTCGACATGAGCTTTTGCTCTCAAGTTCTAAAATAGTTTAGGTTGCTCGCACGTTGACCATTCAGTAATTTGTGGGATTGACGTCGCATATGTCACTTTTACACAATGATAATGAGGTTGTTCTAATAGAAATAACGACATTGAATAAGTTATAATGCAAGAAATTGTTTTAGTACAAATTTATCGTCATTGAAATCGTTTTAGATGGAAACATAACTACAATGACATCGATATCATTTTCTTTTCATACGTTTTGTATTAAACACACAAAATAACATAATGACGTTAATATAATTTCAATACAAATTTGTCGTCTTTGAAGTCGTTTCAATTCAAAACATAACCGAAATGATTTTGATGTCGTTTCTCTTGATATGTAACGACAATTATCTACTAAAAGAGACAACATCAAAATCGTTTAAGTTATGTTTCGCACTGAAATGACTTCAAAGACGACAAATTTGTACTGAAATGATATTAATGTTGTTATGTTATTTTATGTATTTGATACAGAACTTATACAAGAAACCCAAGCCATTAAAAGTTTAGGACATTGCACAAGGGAAACATCTCAGACCAAAATGACTCATCCATATTCAGTCATTATGCTTATTCATCATTCTGACAGAGAGAATTCACGATAAATTTGTACTAATAAAGCAAAATTAGGCAGGTTAAGAAATTTTCAAGAGATAACAACAATACTTAACAAGTCAAACCTATATAACATATGCTACAATCTAATACTGCTCCTAAAATTGAAAGGCATTTTTGCTAAAGTAATGAATCATAGATCAAAATATTTAATAAAAAATTTCATGATTTCTTTTCGTACTAATAAGAATTAGTAGCAGTGGAGGACATAATAATCAAATCTATAATTCAAGATGGTAACTTAAAACAAAATAGAGAATTGTTTCTTGTTTATTGGATGGCTTTATATTGAACAGAACAAATCTAGTTTAGAAAATAGATTTAGATTCAATAGTGAAAAATTGTGTTTTATAAAATTTCGTCGAGCACAACTTCAATATATATTTGTATTAAATATTTGATTATGTCATATTTTCGGCTTTTTCTACATTTTAAATCATCTTAAAATATGCGTATAAGTCTGTCCCGCCATGGAAGGTAAACTAGGACGCACATAGTGTTGAATCTTCACAAGATTTTGAGGAAATGAAGCATGATCCACCAATCGGGCAAGAAAATTTGCTGCGACAGGAAGAAAATTAGAACCAACTTGAATCACGAACAACACAATGTGAGTCATTTATCGACTCTTTTAAATAGAGATGCTTTATATCCTCCAAGCAAATAAACATTATTCTGGATTGCAAAAGCATAAATGAAATTCCCAAAAAGAATTATAAGAACTCTATAAAATTTCTTATATTTTATATCAATTTCAACTCTTATTTATAATGAAGGATCATTACAAGACAAAAGGACAAGATTATTAGGATAAAGAGGCACCTTTTGGTGGCCAAAAATAAAAAAATAAAAAAAAATAAAAATACCAACTAATTTCTCATGTCTTGATGCACAGGTTCGTTGCCACCTACACTACTAATGAACGATGCTCCTTGATTAGTGCAATTTGTGTACTTATTTAGACCATTTTATTAAATCTTTATGTCGTCAAATTATTGAATTTTATTTAATTTAGATTTTTTTTGTTCGTTTCAATGTTCGACCCGTTTTGAAGCAATTGGAAAAGAAAATGATGAATTGACGATTAAATAAAAGTTGTGGACCAAATCTCACTTGAATAAAAGTTGGATGATCAAAAGTGGTGGAATAATGAAGAAAAGGACTAAGTTGCATTAATTATAATGGAATGAGCCCTTGAAAGATAAATTCCAACTAATTGGGCTTAAAAGTGGACTTTTAGTTGTCACCAAATTGAATAATGAATGGATATTTAGTTGGGCTTCAAAAGGGCTGCCTTGCTGATTATATATATTTACGTCACGTGTGCTGGGAAGGGGGAGGGAGAACCATAGAAAAGGCGGCAAAGCACACGCCAACTGTGGAAGAGAAAAAATGGCGGATGCAGGGAATAAAAAAGAGGGGCTGAATTTGCAATAGAGATACATGGCTGTGTCAAGTGTATATATTGTTGGGAATTTACTTAAACATGCACAGTAAAAATAGAACAGTTTTAATTTTCACCAGAATTCATCTTTGTATTTAAATAAGAATTGTAATGAGAATTATACTTTTTTTTTTTTTTTTTTTTGCAAACTCCTTTGCGTTATCCTTTTCCAACAACTTGAATCTGCCTCCCACAGCTGTCCAATTATCCAGCCTCCAATGAAATCCATACAGAGAATAAACTGCAACTGCTAGAATTTTTCCTCTTATACCAGCAAGAATAATGAAAATAACATGGATCTCAAATCATAGCCATGTATTTATATAAACCCAAACGAGCTTGGCCTGATCCGGTCCAATATTTAATTAATCCATTTAATTAAACTCGGTCCGTGAATCTAATTAATTAATTCGGGGATATAAATAATCAATCCAATTAATTAATTTATCCAACGATTGTTAAATTAATTAATTGGCAATTTACAATCTTCCAATTCTCTTTTGTGTGCGACCTATTAGGTTCCCGACCACGATACCTAACGACGTGAAATATTATTTTGATCTAATCAAAACTGATAAATTAAACACCCTTTTAATTTATCACAAATTTACATTCGCGTCCCAGATTGACATCTAGCAATGTATCAGGGCAACACATGTGACGAGAAATGTCACGTGGTATGACAAAACTAAAACTGTTCATTTACTATGAAACTATAATCCCTTCGTCAATATGATCCGATCAATTACGAGATATGGAAGTGTGTCAATCATGATTATCGATCAAATCTTTCATTCTACTATTAAGTCAATATAAGTTGAAAACTCCTTTTCGACTTATATGTATACCTTGGCCAAGGATTTCCTTATTGACTTAATTAAACGAAATGCAGATCACAATCTCTTGCTATCTAAGAGAGATGAATCCTCTATTGGTCATTCACAACCTTCATATGATTCTTGATATACCCGACCGATGTCATATTAGCGGCCCTTGACAGAGCAATATCCAACGCCGTCAAAGCATGACTGTCCTCATACAATGCACTATGATGACATCAAGTCATAGTATCAATTCCACTACCGAACGTTAGAGATTAACCACTGACACTCAAATAGTTATCCATGTAGAATCTCTTAGCGGGTCTCCAATGTTTTATTCTATAACAAAACATCCACGTGTTCATTTAAGTGTCACCACACTTTAACTCGTAAGGTCAGCTAATTACTTCACAAGTAAGAAATGCCACACGTGATGGTCTATCTGTATTAACGATATCCGTATCTCGTTATTACTTACGACCACTGTTTATTCAAGATCCAATCATACGTAATTTGTATTTCACAATCACAACTCCTTGTAATTAACAAATCACTTAAACTTGGATCTTCGGACTCTATTATTTAATATTATTTATCACAAAATTAATTTAAATAAATAATAGATCTTACCAAAATTAAATGCAATAAACATATTAAAAGTGTTTACAACCTAAATCGATTGGATTTAGGGCATAACACTTACATACATATATATATATATATATATATATGCACGGAAAAAGAGATACAAAGAAGTTGTGGATGAATTGATTAAAATATATACGAAGTTGGTGGCGGCAATTGTATTGGCAAAAGACAGATTTTTCAAGTCCACTTATTGGAGTCAAACAAAGGATAGTCGACTGCTACATATATATTGCAATACACAGAAACCTGGGAATTGATCTTGGAGACACAGAATTCGGCGGCCGAGGAAGAAAAATTTTTACATGCATATAACGGCAGCATTGGAGGAATATATATTTTCACGTGCAAAGAGAAATAATTTCAGAGTTCTTTGTGCATTTAGTCATCAATAATTGTGCAAGGAATTTGGAAATTAATCACGAAATTTGTCACGTTAAATCAATTTTGCGGTGATGTCATCTAAACTTTCTTTGTTTGATTTCAATATTATGTTAGGCTAACTTTTTTCATGTGCTGGATGAAGATGAAATCCATTATTATTTATTTTTAATTCGAGACACGCGGCTTAGGTGAATTCTTGCAATTATTGATTAATCTTGCATGCTTAATTTTATTAGTTGATTGCTTGATCACCAATTAAATATATAGTTGCTTATTGTAGTATTGGGAAGCTCACAATAAATTTAGAACACTACATGATTAACATACATGTAATAAATTTTAGGAATAAGATTTATCACGTGTGCAATTTTTGAGATAATTGTGAAATTGAATGCGTTTTATTCATATAAATTCGGACTAGGAATAGAATCGGGTCGTGTATAGGATAGATTTAATTTTTCTTGGAAAAAAACTTAATTACAATAGAATTATCGATTGTCAAGAATGCAAGAACGAAATTAGCTACATAATCAAGAATTGAAATTGATAATAATAGATGGATTCATAATTCAATACTCTCTTCCCATAGCCATATTAAATTCGCATTTTACACGTTTTCGTAGATTAAATTAGAATAATCTAAAATCCCAAAAATCACTTTTATTTGTTTACTTTGAATCTAATTAAATACCAGTATATTCAACTAAATTTTATTCCTCGTGGGATGATACTCTTAACTCACTAAATTTGTTACTTGTCAACAATCTCGTCCACTTGTGGGTTTCACACGAACACTCCTTGCATGGCAACGTGCTCCTTAAACAGCACTTTGTCCCCCTTTATCATTACACTTTTTCATAATCGTTAATTTGTTCTCAATATTTGAACAACATATATAACTCACACTAGTACAATTAATATGAATGCAAAAATGATATGAAAACAAAGACGTCATTCTTTTTAAAATTAATTAGGGCTTGTTTGATAGGCAATTTTTTCCAGGGAAAATGGTACTTTTTCCACTTTTTTCCAAATGTAAGGCTGTTTAATAGGTAAATTTTTCCAGGGAATTGTTTTTCTCACTTACAGTCACGTGACCCTCCAATTCCACCAAACTGAGGAATTTCAATTGGGTAATTGGCACAAAACGTCCTTACCTTTCAAGTCTATTGTGGAAAACATCCATACCTTTCATTTTTTGGCATTTTTGCCCTCATTTCAACCTTTCTTTGCGCTGGACGTCCTTCCGTCCATATTCCATCAGTTTTTCCGTTAATTAAAGGGTAATTGGCACAAAAAGTCCCTACCTTTCAAGTCTATTGTGGAAAACGTCCCTACCTTTCATTTTTTGGCATTTTTGCCTCATTTCAACCTTTCTTTGCGTTGGACGTCCTTCCGTTTATATTCCGTCAGTTTTTCCGTTAATTAAATACAAAAATACCTTTTTCTTTCCATAAACAAGGGTAAAATTATCCTCACCCACTTCACCACTTTTTCCCACCATCAACTTAGTCCATAAGTAACAGTAGCAGCAACATGAATCTGAAAATACTTTAAATGATTAAGTTAAATAAAGAAAAAATATCGTGAACACATTATACTTCACAATTCCACAACTACTGTTGCTGTCATCTTGTGTCACTGAAAAATTTTAGAAAGACATATTAAATGGGTCCTCTAACTGTGGTGGTGTAACTGGCCCTTTACCTCCAAAATATAAATCCAATAACCTTTTATTTCGTATAATACGGGTTCTAGATTCTTCTTCCCCGGTACATCTCAAGCCCGTAATCAGGGCAAATTCAAGGATCGAGAATCTACATACCTTCCCGTCCCCAATAGCAAAATATAACTGATCGCCATCGACTGGTTTAAGCAGTCGGAGTAATAAAGAATCAACAATCTGTCCAGAGAACTGCACGTCCTTCAACGGATAGAACGACTATAAAAATGATCGACGGAGTAAGTCAATATGCTCCTCGTCCAGCCCCTCAAGTACTGTCGTATAGCTGGAAAAGTTACAATACGTCGTAACTTTTCCCGAATGAGCCCTCAGATCGTTGTCGATATGATATTCCATCCTACAAAATTAATACATGTTAAAACCATATAAAAGAAATTTTAAATAAAATATCGTACCTTCAAATTTAACCAATCAAATTTCATATTAATAAACCAATAAATAAATTCATCTAATCACATATTAAAATAATTAAACAAAAAAATTTCCACATATTTGACTATTTAATATTTATTTAAAAAAATTATTGTTTTTTTAATTTATTCTTTAAATATTTCGTTAATTATGTATATTATTTATTTCGATTATTTATTTGAATAA